TATATATAAATACGATTAGATACATTTTTATATAATATGAGACAATCTTATAGATCGATTATTTGCTGATCTACTAATATAATTTGAATAAATTTTAGCTTATTAGAATTACTGATTCAGAATCTAGTATTAGTTTTTTAATAGTCATCCTACTTAAAATGATTAAATTCTATTAAATAAAAATATTTATATTAGATGCAAAATTATGCAAAACTGTTATTAATTATTGCATTTTAAATTTTTATTAGTTATTCTTTAAGATTTGAGAATCAAAATAAATATAAATCATATTTTTAGCATAGTAAATAATGAGTGATAAGCTTTTAAAGTTAAAATATTAGATATTGTATTACTTGAAAGCAATTATATATTGACCTTTTCTTAATAAAACATAACAAATTACAAATCTTCAGTATAAATTTGCATGCATTTCAAATATTATAAACTAAAAAAGAAAGGCTCAGATTTTATAAGAAAATTATTAAATTTATTAAAGAAAGTCTTAAATCTGATTTCAAAATTATTCTTTTAAAAGATTTCTATATCAATCTCAATATTTATTGGTCTCAATATGATAATAATTCTAATAATTCTCTACTTTATTGATAATTTAACTTTTATCATAGTATCTTTGCACTTAATTTTTTTGACCTATATAATTTATATCATAATTTATACGAACTAATCTCTTATACAAGAAATTCAAATTCAAGAATTGATGTTATATTTGTCTTTTCTAAGATTTTTTGTATTTATCTTTACACTCAACTAATTTATATTCATTAGATCATAAATTGATTTGTCTTTTTCATTAATATTCAAGATTAATCATTCTACTTTTATAAAATAAATAACAAGTCCTTAACCTTTGATCAATAGATTAAACCAAATGAATTAAATTCGTAGAATATATTGATTTCCACTATAATTATTACAATTTTGATTATCTCAAAAATCTTTCACCTAATCATCATAATATGAATCAAATTTAGACTAATATTAAAACTATTATTTTAGCTACTAATAAGAAATCCATTTTGTAAGTTTGGAATTCATATCATTACAATCACAAATAATTCTATAATTTATCTGATTCTTTTATTACTGTTAAAAAAGTTGGAATACTGCACTTACTGTTTAAAGATAAATTTATTCAAACAAAATGTTGGTTAAGAAGTTTTACATAAAATTATGTAATTTTCTCACTTTCAAAAATTATCATACAAATGAAACTGACATCTTATATTTTTTTCAATTATATTTGATAAACATAATATTCTCTAAATTAAAGTTTTTATCAAAAAAATACATAAAATACTTTAAACGTTAGCAAAAGTTGATACTAATAAATTAAAATGACTATTAAATAACTAATTGATATATATTATAATGATTTTTTTAATAATATTTCCAAAATGATCAACTTCATTCTTAACTGAAAAAAAATATAATCATGTTAAACCACTTTTGATTAATTATTTAATTAAGAATATCAATAGATTTACTGTTGACCCAAAGGAAATTAAAGAGGTTATAGTCAGTTACTTCTAAAATTATGCTTTACATAATACTTCTGAATAGCAAATATTATCCAAATGAATCAATTAGTATTTTTCAAAAAATTATATAAATGAGGATTGCTATAACAATCTATTATAATTACTAACATATAAGTTAGTATATATAAAAATCATGCTGCAGAACTATATAAATCATATGATCTAAACCTGATTTTCGTATATAATAACCTATATGGGAGGTTTGCTAGAAAAATGGGACTCTGAGCATTTTTTATTAAAATTTTAATTTTTATAGCATTTTAATCTAACATTATCAAAAATTAAAATGCAATAAAAATTAAAATTTTAATAAAAAATGCTCAGAGCCTCACTTTCCTAGCAAACCTCCCAATTGCTTTCTTTTTCAAAAGGTAATCTTAATGCACAAATATAAAATAATAATGGAAACGTTAAGAAATGACAAGTAGATGATAGTAATAATAATAATGACATAAAAATTAATAATGGCGATGGTAGCAACATTGCATTGGTAATGGAGATAGTGAAAGAGTGGACGGTAATAATAATGATGGTAATAGTTATAGTAGTAATAATGGCGGAGATAGCAATGATGATGATGATGATGGAGATGATGATGATGATGATGGTGATAATGATAATAATAGTAATGGTAAAAACGGTAATGGAAAAGATAATATAAATAAAAAGAGCTCTAGTGTAATGCCAAAATTGCTAAAGTTTATAATCCAGATATCGCTCAAAATTTTAATATCATATCGCTGTTAATATCAAGGCAAACATCGCTTCTTTTGAAGAGTATATTTGAATTCTAAACTTGTAAATGGCTGAGGAATAGGAGTTATGCTTAGTAACAAATGACCATTACTAAAAAATCAGATTTTGGTTATTTTTATTCTATTAAAGCAAATATTTCTCAATGACTGAACAAGAAATATAACCAATAGGCATATCACAACCAAATCAATCGAATCGAACGTTAGAATTTTCAACAGATAGTGAAATTAATTATAATTTACAAGCTGGAACTTCAAGCAGTATTACATGCGATACAAAAAAAGGGTCATCATGTTAAATTCTCATTATATGAATGGGATTTATCCTATAAAGGTCCTGATAACAAATGGAAGCAATGGTTGTATCAATATATTGATAATAAACTTGATAAAAATAGTAACAATAAAAAAGATTTTGTTCCTAAACTCATTTCGGTAAATAGTTATTCTAGAAAGATATGTAAGGATTTTGTATTACTATTATTCATGTTTTACGCTGTGAGGTTACTCGCAGATTTTTCTTACCAACAAAACCAAATTTATTGCAATTTTGCCTATTGATATCCCATAGTCTTAAAATATCCTTTAATGATCTAAAAGATTTCAACAAAACTTTTTATACTAATAATAACAACATTATCATTACAATTGGAAGTAATGAAGTAGAAAATATCATTGAACCTGAAAAATAAAAAATTAAGAATTTAGATGGGAAAATAAAGCATTCGTTGATACGAATATTATAATTTTATATGTTTATCAAATATATGAATTCGTCTTGATAATGGTTTAATATTGGAAAATTAAATTTGTAAGAAACTTTTGGTTACTTTATTATTATTTATATGTATATATTATTTAACACCGGTTATAGAGTATATGTAAATTTTTTTACATAAATAAAATCAGTTTATAATTGAGCAATTACAAAACTTATATCAGCTTCAACTAAATGAATAAAATCATTATTATTTTCCTTCACGTATTTTTAAACCTATAGTTATTATATAAAATATTAGTATATTAGCTTTAAAAAGAAGAAATTTTATTAAAATGCACGCATAGATAATGAAAGTTATCATTGACATTTTAATAAGAAAATAAAAGACTAAATGAGATAACCATGACTTCTTTTTTTGACTTTTCTAAGCATTAGAAAAAAAATAATCTTTATAAGGTATCTTTCATCGTTTTGAAATCATCATCCGATCAAGTTGAAGGATCAGAAATAAGCGTAGGAGTTTTTTCAAGTCCCCATTTTAATACGTGTTCCCAAACTTCAATTTCTTTCATTTGTAATTCATCTCTTTTGATAAGTGAAATTAAAGATTTTTCAGGAAGCGATGTAAAATCAAGTGATTGAAATACTTTTTCAGGAGTTTTAGCCATAAAATTTGTACAAAACACTTGAAGTTTTGACAAAGAATTAAATTGAAAACTTGTTCTATGAGTAAGCTCAAAATGTTATTCCATTCATTCAGATTTATTTTCAATTAAATAATTCTGTAAATATTCAACTAGTTCTTGCAGAAGAAGCTCTTTGGCAGCAACCAATACTTTTAAAGTATCTGAAGTATCTTGTTCGTCTAATGAAATAATTCCACCATAAATGTACATCATAAAAAATTTATGATTATTTAAAGATGACGAAGTAAATAATAATCATATTCTTGGATTCGGTGTATATACTTACTTCAAATAATTTGAACAACTTAATATGAACTAGGGCGTTATTAGTCCGGAGCGTTAGCGAAGGACTAATTACTTTCTATGCATTGTGTCCGTTTGTCCGCCCGCTTATCATTTGAGACGACGAATATCGGCTATTTATAAATACCGTGGTACATTTTCCTAAAAAAGAAACTGCCCGCAACATAGATTTAATAAATTCTGTGTTGTATTTATTTTTATTAGACGTAATGATATTGACATAATTAATTCACGTGATCTTAAGCTCCGGCTTCACAACGGTGATACCGTTCCCTAGTTATTATTCTTTTTATTGGAAGACAATTTTCGTCGCAAAAATGGAGAACGGTAACACAATATGTTCATATGCGCGCGAAATATTTTCACATTCGGATCTTTACCAATTTCAATTGTAATATTCATCATCCTCTAAAATTTCAATAAAAGGTGTCTCGACATTTTATTTGTAAAATTGTAAATTCCATGCTTAAATAGTTCGTGTAACGTTCCCATCAGGCTCGCCATAAAAAGATGATGTGTCACCTATACCTATAATAGGAAATTCTTTTTTACATAGTAAAAAAAAAATTTTTTTTTATGAATCAAAATATTAAACAATTTATTGGTAAGATATTTTTATCTACGATTGCATCGATTCTTTGAATTCGAATTGTGAATTGTTTTACAATTTGAATTAAATAAATGTTTTTCGAAACGATTTTTCGGTTATTAACTACGTAACTTACTCATCATCTTTAATTCTTTTCTCTACCATTTTTTTTTTTTTTTTTGCGTTTCGATGATATTTTCAGGAGGGAATGATTTAACAAATGTTCCAAGAAGTATCGTAAGAGAATTTGTAGAAAAACGTAATGATCACACTATCGCAAAAAATTTTAATAGCGAATAATGGTATAGCGGCTGTTAAAGAGATTAGATCTATTAGAAAATGGTCTTATAAACCTTTGGTGATGAAAGGTCAATACAGTTTACTGTGATGGCTACTTCTGAAGATTTAAAGTTTAATATTCGTATGGCTGATCAATATATCGAAGTACCTAATAATTATATTTATTTAATGTTTCATTAACTGTTGATATCGCCGATCGTATTGGTGTTCATGCTGTTTGGGCTGGCTGGTAAGCATTCTTCTAAAAAAAAAAAAAAATTAATAATGATACCGTGTATATATATATATTAATTTTCTTTTAAATTAATGAAATATTATTTGATCTTTCTCATCTATAGGGGACATGCATCCGAAAACCCTAAATTACCCGAATCATTAGCGCAGAGTAAACATAAGATAGTTTTCATTGGTCCTCTTGGTTCAGCGATGCGTTCGTTAGGTGATAAAATATCATCTATGATCGTTGCTCAATCCGCAAATTTTTCCTACGATGAATTGGAGTGGTAATGGTGTCACCCAAACTGAACTTGATAAACAAGGTCATGTTATTGTTTCCGAAAGTGTTTACGAAGAGGCGTGCGTCAAGGAGTTGATGATGGGTTAAATAAAGCAAATATCCTATCATTCAAAGCTTCAGAGGGTGGAAGAGGAAAAGGAATTAAAAAAGTGGAAAAATCCAGATAATTTTAAGCAACCATTTGCTCAAGTTCAAGTGAAGTTCCTGGTTCATCGATTTTCATCATGCGACTTGCTCGAGATGCTCGGCATCTTGAAGTTCAAGTTTTAGCGGATCAATACGGAAATGCGATCTCCTTATTTGGAAGAGATTGTTCAAATGCGTC